ATTTATCGCATACCAGGGATCATGGATCAGTTTGAATACATCAGAATACTTGAAGAGGTCATGCTGCATTATGCTGAAGAGGAAATACCCTTGAAATGGGTGTTCCAACAAGACAATGACCCCAAACACACCAGTAAACGTGCAACATCTTGGTTCCAGACCAACAAGATTGGCGTTATGGAGTGGCCAGCCCAATCCCCGGATCTTAATCCAATAGAAAAACTTGAGGGGTGACATCAAAAATGCAGTTTGAGGCAAAACCAAGAAATAGAGAAGAACTGTGGAATGTAGTCCAATCATCCTGGGCTGGAATACCTGTTCACAGGTGCCAGAAGTTGGTTGACTTCATGCAACACAGATGTACAGCAGTTCTCAGAAACAGTCCTTATACAACTAAATATTCATTAAGTGATTCAAAGGAAAGCAAAATCTTCAAACATTTTTCAGTTTATATAGTGAATGTTTGAGTTTGTAAAGAGGAATACAAACACTGCTATTTTTTTGAACAGTCTAATATTCACTTTTCTTCAATTTTTTTTAGAGGAACAACACAAATTTGATATATTTTTCTTCATGTTTTGATTTGGAATAGAATGTGTAGTGTTCCCAATGCATTTGTGTGTATGGAAATAGAAGCTATTAGAAGGATTTTGAGCTTTATTCACTTTTTTCAACTCACTGCTATTATTTTGAACACAACTGTATGTATCGGAAAACAAGCTGGGCTCCATAATCTCACTTGACTGTTTGAATCACCATGCTAAAGGTACTAGAACCTAAATATATGTAAAAACTACTTCATGAGGCAAAAAAAAAAAAAAAAAGACTGAAAAGCAAGAAACAAGAATAGAAAAAGATAATATAGTTAGGAGAGCTTTTGACTGTAGCATGCCAGGGCCATCAGCAGCACTGTGAAAAATGTATGGATTGTCACAGAAATGGCTGCAGTTTAGACAAGATGGAAATGTTCAAGAGTACCATTATGTCACAGATTTTGTGTGCAGGTCATGTAGGCTGGCAATTAACACCTCCATCCACATGATTGAGTTTAGTTCCTCTACCCATACTCTAATGGTAGGAGTGGAGGTCTTCCACCGTTTGGGTATAAGTGCATACACTGCCAACAGGAGAAATTGCAGGATACCTTTTTTGAGCTTTGCAATGGACCCAGGCAAAAAAAAAAAAAAAAAAAAACAGTTCTATTTTTAAGTTATTTTTTTTTCAGTAAAGGGCACTGTTAATGTTACAGCACACAAGACATTTTAGACAACTAAGAACTTTTGTGCACTTTCAACTTTGTGGTAACAGTTTGGGAGACCCTTTTCAGTTTTAACAGGACTATGCCCCTGTGAACAAAGCCAGCTCCATAAAGTCATGGTTTTATGTTTGGTGTGGAGGAAAGGGTGGTCCTTACAGAGCCCTGACCTCAACAACAATGAACACCTTTGATATGAATTGGAATATAAGCCAGACCTTCTCATCTGAATTCAGTACCTAACCTCACAAATAGGCACACATTCCCACAGACACACTCCAAAATCTTGTGGAAACCCTTCCCAGAAGAGTGGAGGCTGTTGCAGCCGCAAAGGCAAAGATTAACTAACTTAATGGCCATGGTTTTGGAATGAGATGTCCAACAAGCACAAAGGGGTAATGGTCAGCTATTATTTTTTTTCCCACACAGTGTACATCCTGCTGGAACTCTTTTGGACTGTCTTAACATAATGAAGAACAAGTAAAAGATGGTAACTTGATGCACAGTCTTACCACAGTTATGAACCCGTGTCCACATCCTCTTTACAGCTACTAGAGATACCAGTGCTGCATATATTACAGAGAAACACTATTAACTGATTTACTAAAGTTTTTTTTTTTTTTTTTTTTAATTACCATATGCTTCTCCTTTACCCTAGGTTCACATCTGTGCGGGTGGTGCCGCTGTGGATCCGAGTGAAAATCTGTGCAGCCGCACCACCTGCACAGAGAAATGCGGACCCGCGGGCAGGTGCCATTAGTGCTAATGGCACGCTGCCCGCACTGGAAAATGCAACCGTACTGGGAACTGAGCTTCCCGTGTGGGCTGCGTTTTCCAAGGAAGTGCAGGTACTTCTTCCCTGCGTGTCACGGGCACGGGAGTCAAAAGAATGGGTTCTCGTGCCTGTGCAAAACGCAGTCCGCACGGCTGCATATATGTTAACGGGGGTTACGGTCACAACTTGGAGGAATCGAAAGCCATCTGTGGCCTTCTCCAGTCATATGAAGCCAACACTACATTGTGATGCAATCATATTCTAAAAAAATTCTGCATGCTGCCCATACATGTAGCAATATGACAATTTGACATAAAGATCATTTTGATTAAAAGGATGCAAAAGGCCATTTGTATGAAAAGACAAGATTCAGTCAAATTGACCATTTATTTTTTTTTTTTTTTTAATGTGTGCAAGACAATCATTTTTGAGTAAGTGATCAAAAGTTTTATTAATCTTTCATCATTACCAAAACCATACGTAGACACTATGCAGCACTAACCACACCTCACTGACAAAGTCCTTTTTCAAAGCTCCATTGTGATTATTTATTAAAAACTATTGCTGCAATCCGCTCTTGGAGGCTGCAGGCAGTCTGGTGATCTATTTTGTTGAAAACAGAGAAAAGAGAGAGTTTGAGTAGTAGAGTATTGTGATTCCTCTCAGCATTCTCTGAACTCTGTTCCTCCTACAGTTCTTTTGCTGAATTTAGCCACAAACGTCCAAAGGAGTCCCGAGGAGCAGAAATAAAAGGAAAAAGTTATCACAATTTCTACATTGTTGGTATATTTCTACATGGTTAATATGCTGCCACCCCTATGAATTGGCCTACAAGTGCCCTTTTGGTAAATACAACCCTGAACTTTACATATACACTGCTCAAGAAAATGAAAAGGAACACTTTTTTAAATCAAAGTATTATTATTTTACAGTATTTATACAGCGCCAACAGTTTGCTCAGCGCTTTACAATATAAGGGAGACATTACAATATATTTCAGTACAGAAGGAATGTAAGGGCCCTGCTCGTGGAGCTTACAATCTAAAGTATAGCATCAAGTCAATTAAACTCCTGGGATATTGATCTGGTCAGTTAAGTAGCAGAGGGGGTTGTTAATTTCATTAGCAGCTGAAACTGATCAACAGGTGCACTAGATGGGCAACAATGAGACGATCCCCCAAACAGGAATGGTTTTACAAGTGGAGGCCAATGACAATTTTTTCCCTAGTCATCTTTTCTGACTGTTTTTTCAGTAGTTTTGCATTTGGCTAGGGTCAGTGTAACTACTGGTAGAATGAGGCCCTACCTGGACCCTACAAAGGTTGCATAGGCAGTCCAACTCCTCCAGGATGGCAGATCAATACGTGCCATTGCCAGAAGGTTTGTGGTCTCCTAGCACAGTCTCAAGAGCATGGAGGAGATTCCAAGAGACAGGCAGTTACTGTAGGAGAGCTGGACAGGGCCATAGGAGGTCCTTAACCCATCAGTGGGACCAGTATCTGTCCTTTGTGCAAGGAGGAACAGGATAAGCACTGCCAGAGCCATGCAAAATGACCTCCAGCAGGCCACTGGTGTGAATGTCTCTGACCAAACAATCAGAAACAAACTTCATGAGGGTGGCCTGAGGGCCCTTTGCTCACTGCTTGGCACCATAGAGCTCAATTGCCATGTAACACCAGAATTGGCAGGTCCGCCACTGGCGTCCTGTGCTTTTCACAGCTGAGAGCAGGTTCACCCTGAGCACATGTGACAGACATGAAAGGGTCTGGGGAAGCCGTGGAGAATGTTATGCTGCCTGTAACATCGTTCAGCATGACCGTTTTGGTGGTGGGTCAGTGATGGCCTGGGGAAGCATATCCATGGAGGGACGCACAGACCTCTACAGGCTAGACAATGGCACCCTGACTGCCATTTAGGTATTGGGATGAAATCCTTGGAGCCATTGTCAGACCCTACACTGATGCAGTGGGTCCTGGATTCCTCCTGGTGCACGACATTGCCCAGGCTCATGTGGCAAGAGTATGCAGGCAGTTCCTGGAGGATGAAGGAATTAATACCATTGAATGCCCCCCACGCTTGCCTGACGTAAATCCAATAGAACACCTCTGGGATATAATGTTTCAGTCCATCCGACGCCGTCAGGTTGCACCTCAGACTGCCCAGGAGCTCAGTGATGCCCTGGTCCAGATCTGGGAGGAAATACCCCAGGACACCATCCGTCATCTCATTAGGAGCATGCCGCAAAATTGTCAGGTACAGAATGCAAACAAACACGTGGGGGCCATACAAACTCCTGAGCACCATTTTGAATTGCTGCAATGAAATTTCAGCAAAATGGACTAGCCTGCTGCATCTTTTTTTCACTTTGATTTTTGGGGTGTCTTTAAATTCAGTCCTCTGTATATTGATAATTTTCATTTCCATCAAACGATGGGGCAGCCTTACATCCCTAACACATGACCCAGTCCATAGTAGTATAGATATCCAGCATTATATTTTTCCTCATTGAGATCTGATGTGTTTTAAAAGTGTTTTTTTAATTTTTTTGAGCAGTGAATGTTCAGCATTAGCAAGATATCACTATAGGCTGCAATAAGTACATGGTCCAATTGTGCCAAGCCCTTGCTTCATTTTCCAGTGACACCCAGGACTCTGGTGTGCATTCTCTATACAGTCCTAGAAATAATCCACTAGGGGTGGTGATATTGTTCTCCCAGCTAAATCTTGAAAAATCTAACCTTTTCCAACATAAGGCAAGGTGACATTCCTTTAGTTTTTGGTTGGATCAAATACTAAAAATAAACCCAAAAACTAATAGAATGCACATTGTGCCTTTTTTGGTTCATACATGATTACAAAACATAATTAAAATTAATTTTTGGGTTTTGAATTTTAGAACTGGACTGATTATTTCATTTGATTTGTGTCCTGGTTGATAGAAATGCCTTTTGATGTATAAAAAGTCTGGTTCTATGCCATGTTGTGGACTGCAGCTGTCTTCCTTATAAGTCGCTCTGTCAAAGGAGAATTCGGTCTCAGGGCATCTCTTTCAAGTAAAAGGCACCTGTTATAATAAAAATAGTAAGATGAAAAACGTGAGACCCATTTCATCAAGAGGTGCAAAGAAGAACTGCAATGCGAAAATGTAGCAGCAATAGGGATCCAGTTTACTGCTAGTCAATATGGGATTACAATACCATGCCTTACTATAGGATCACTTCACTCAAAATATATATTTCAGTTTATCAGAGGTGCTGGAAAGATAGAGTGTAAGTGAATGCATGACCTTGCAAAAAAGAAAAGCATAAAACATGTTGTAATAGCATACAAAACACCAGTAATACAGCAAAAAATGTTCTTTACACCCCATTTTTATCACTGTTATGTGAATACAGTGCCTCTGGGATTGACACCTGGACAAGTTTGATGCCACATTTCTGGCTAGTGAAGTTCCTAGAGCTGATCAACACATGTGCGGTGCGGGTTGAAGCTCAGGTTTCAACAGCTAATTGACACAATACTTGTTCAGCGGTTCATGTCAGGTTTAGGACAGGATTAGGTCAGGATTTCCTCCTGTTCACACATGTGCGGTTTAGAAACAGTTCTCATAGAACTCAATAGCCTGTAATCCGCAACTGAACCGGACCGCACTGCACTACTCAGAAATCGTACATGACTCTTTCGAACTTCACTGAATCCGCACCACCAGCGCACTGAACATATGTGATCAGGCACCATAGGAAGCATTCTTAATTCACGTTATGCAGATTGGATGCAGTTCAAACCGCATCCAATCCCATATATACAGTTGTGTTCAAAATAATAGCAGTCAGACATCACTAACCTGATCAATCACTGTTTTTGCTAGAAATGATATTTCTACATGGCAAATAATTTACTAGCAGGTGTAGTAGAGTAATAGAAATCCAACAGACCCAACAGTCATGACATGCATGCTGCTGATTCTGTGTAATTGAATCACTAATTGAAAGGGGCATGTTCAAAATAATAGCAGTGTGGAGTTCTATTAGTGAGGTCATTCATTCTTTGAAAAACAGGTGGCAATTATTGCCCTTATTTAAGGAAGGAAGGCAGCAAATGTTGTACATGCTGGTTACAGTGCATTTCTCTCTGAAATTCTGAGGAAAATGGGTTGTTCCAGACATTGTTCAGAAGAACAGGGTACCTTGATTAAAAAGTTGATAGGAGAGGGGAAAAAACATATAAAGAAGTGCAGAAAACGATAGGCTACTCAGCTAAAATGATTGCAAATGCTTTAAAATGGCAACCAAAACCTGAAAGACGTGGAAGAAAGCGAAAAAACTATTATTCGAATGGATAGAATATCCAAAATGGCAAGGACTCAGCCAACAATCAGCTCCAGGAAGATCAAAGAAGGTCTAAAGTTACCTCTGAGTTCTGTTACAATTAGAAGACGCCTATGTGAAGCCAAGCTATCTGCAAGAAGCCCCCGCAAAGTCCCACTGTTGAAAAAAAAAAGACGTGCTGAAGAGGTTACAATTTGCCAAAGAGCACATTGACTGGCCTAAAGAGAAATGGCGCAACATTTTGTGGACTGATGAAAGTAAGGTTGTTCTTTTTGGGTCTAGTGGCCGGAGACAGTTTGTCAGATGACCCTCAAACACTGAATTCAAGCCACAGTGCACTGTGACGACAGTGAAGCATGGTTGCGCAAGCATCATGATATGGGGATGTTTCTCATACTACGGTGTTGGGCCTATTTATCGCATACCAGGGATCATGGATCAGTTTGAATAGATCAGAATATTTGAAGAGGTCATGCCGCCTTATGCTGAAGAGGAAATGCCCTTGAAATGGGTGTTGCAACAAGACAACGACCCCAAACACACCAGTAAACGTGCAACATCTTGGTTCCAGACCAACAAGATTGACATTATGGAGTGGCCAGCCCCATCCCCGGCTCTTAATCCAATAGAAAACTTGTGGGGTGACATCAAAAATGCAGTTTCTGAGGCAAAACCAAGAAATAGAGAAGAACTGTGGAATGTAGTCCAATCATCCTGGGCTGGAATACCTGATCACAGGTGCCAGAAGTCGGTTGACTCCATGCAACACAGATGTACAGCAGTTCTCAGAAACTGTGCTTATACAACTAAATATTCATTAAGTGATTCAAAGGAAAGCAAAATCTTCAAACATTTTTCAGTTTATATAGTGAATGTTTGAGTTTGTAAAGAAGAATACAAACACTGCTATTTTTATGAACAGTCTAATATTCACTTTTCTTCAATTTTTTTTAGAGGAACAACACAAATTTGATATAATTTTTCTTCATGTTTTGATTTGGAATAGAATGTGTAGTGTTCCCAATGCATTTGTGTGTATGGAAATAAAAGCTATTAGAAGGAGTTTCAGCTTTATTCACTTTTTTCAACACACAGCTATTATTTTGAACACAACTGTATATGAACCGCACACTCTGGTCTCACACTATCACTACTGTAAAGCACATCAGACAGAATCCTCTGTCAATCGTACACAGAGCAGGCCAGGGGACGTCGGCCTGCGCTGTCAAAGGCTGACAACATGACTGCAAACACATGCTGTGCATTGGGAGCAAGAACATAGGACAACACGTGAAACGTACAGAGGCGTGAATAGACCAAGGCATTTTATTACTGGGGCTAGCTTTGTTAATCAGAAGTCTAATTGCTCCAACTAGCTTTAACCATCTCCAAAGCAGCGCAGATCTGTCCTACACCTCGCTGTGCTCCATAAAACACACACACAGGTATGCCTGTGTTCCTGTGAATGGCTGAAGTCATATCGTCATTGGACAGCTCAGATCTCCATCACATTGTACAGCGCCAATTAGAGGCTCTGTACCTTGTGACTGCTGTGAAGCTATCCCCAACATTAACAATGCCAGTATTTACAAACACTGAACCCTTTACAACAGGAAAAAAGGGGCTAAGTTCAGATGTCTTACTATCATTGCTGTACCTCTGAAAAATGAAACGAAGTGGAATGCTTTTCAGAGGTGTTTGACAGGTGGTGAGATGGTGATATGTTTTAACCTGTAAATGCTGCAACACTGGTTGTTTGCCTTTTCAGCTTAAGGGGGCTGTTAGGGCGGGTTGTAAAAATGCTGCTCAGTCTTTTTTTTTTTTGTACATATTTTTTAATAGAACATTTTTCTAATATTGTAAATACAGCTTGTGTTTTATTTACAGTTTTTTATTATATGCACACTAAGGTCCAGAAAAACAACACGTTCCAGTATGTGCGTCATTCATCATTATAGGTAATGAGCCAAGACAAAAAATAAAAGTCAATCAAGTATGTTACACCAAGATCACTAACCTAAAGAGATTCTTCTGAGGTATACAGTTTAGGATATAGAGGTACTGGTACATGTACACCCAATCTACGATCTATACCCAGCTAAAGAACAATGAGCAATAAATCCTTCATAAAGCGGTAACTACTGTTAGAACCAAGCAGAGAGCCAGCAGTAGAGGAGAATAAACCTGAGATGGATAACAAAGTGGGCCAAATCTTAATAAATTTGTTCGGACATCCCTTTTTTTTTTTAATAAGCAAGTTGTTCCCTGTCCAAAACACAGCAGTTACTGCCACGCAAGTTTGGGCACAGGTTGGCAGAGTAGGAGACAGCCAACAATGAGAAATTAGACTGCAGGTATGAAACAATAAACGGGTGATTAGAATTTTTTGTGAAGGGGATGACCAATCATAGGAATTATGCCCTACAGGTCAAGTTTAGCATCAGAGGTTAATTGAATTGAGCAGAATTCTAATAAGATCTGAAAGATATGTCAGTATAAAAATAATTTGGGGCAGCGCCATAGCATATTAATATGCCCGTACTGCTACAGTATGGACAATTAGGCCATGGTTGGCAGCCCAGGAAAATAAATAGTTTTTGAGGGGTGTTATACACTCCATGGGAGTATAAAAGTTTGAGTCAGCTATTAAGAGGGGGATAGCGAGACTTCTGGGAAAAGCTCTAATGCCTCTGTCCACTGGTCCTTGTCTAGATCATCGATATCTTGACTCCATTTCTGTCTGCAATTAATCTGGACTTTATCGCTGGCTGCTATCAATAGAACTCCACAGATATCCCCAATGAGTCCCTGCTTGGAGTCAGAGATGGGCATCGCCATAAAAAGAATGCTAGTGGAGTTAAAATGTAAAGGTTCATCCAACCTTTAGTTTAAAACCACAAATTAAAAAAGGGAAAAAAATAGCTATGTTCAATATTTAGGCAAGTTGAAACTTCCGCGCTATATATGTTTGAATATCACAAAGTATAAAAAAAAGAAGCAGCCAGCACAGTATTGCAGGTATCAATACATGAAGCTTACAAAACAAAAAAAGTGCTACAAATTCAAAAGTACAACTAGACAAAACATATAAATAACTTTTGTTTTTTAAATTATATCTACAATAATGTGCAGAAAAAATATTTAAATTAAACCTAAAAAGTCTTTAGTGACAAATAAAAGTTCAAATGATTAAAAAAAAATTATTATTCCAAAGAAATTAAAGAAACTTCTTGAGGATCCACCATCACCAGCACCTCAAAAAATACTGCCTCTTACCAGACTTATGTGACCCCACAATTAAGTGGTGGTCAAGAAACGCATAGTGCGGATACCAAATTAGGATGACGAACTCCGTTACTGCGGACTCTGGGGGGATACGGTGCATTCCATACACTGGATGTAGAATTGACGCCAGTAGGATCCCTCTCATTAGATTCCCAAATCAAGGCATTAGCTCCCAAACTGATACTTCAGATAAATTGCCAAATATAGACCTAAAACAATGAATTATCCTCAGAGGACAAAATCATACAAAAAGCAAAAGAATCCTCATGATATAGTATGATTAGCAGGATTTATTGCCTTACAACGTAGCATTATACGTACATCAAAAGATACTTAAAACAGCATGTCACCATATAACCAAATGGTAAGTTTCTAACCAACAAGATGGCCGCCACGTTCAGGTGCGTGCTGACGTCACGCTTTCGTACTCCTTCCAACGCATTTCGTCATGCATAATGTGTTCAGGGGCATGGCGCCATCTATGATGTGAGCGTTTATAAATACAGCAGGAAGGAGGACTACAGCAGATCAAAAGGTGGAGGTGGGAGGTTTAAATGTGCCACTGACCACCAATGATTGTGGCACCACTGCTATTTTTATTTATTTATTTTAAAGGTAAAGAGATGAAAAGGTAAATGTAAGCAAACCCAATTTTTTCTTTTTCTCTATAAATTAACACAAAAATCTTTACTAAAATACCATAAAAAATAGCTCTGTCTCAAAAAATTATATAAAATTCATTTGGGTACAAACTGAAAAATGGCCTGTTAATGAATGGGTATATACAGGCTGGTACTCAAGTGGTTAAGATGGTCTAGTTCTGCAACTAAACATAATCCACATACCGTGCTAAATTCTGATGTGACCTGGATCCGCTGTTCATTGCTGCACGTATGAGAACTTGACTAAAGAGGTCTCTCTGAAAATTAAAAAAAAAACACACAAATAAATATTTGATAGGTAAGCCAAATACAGTGAAACACGGAGCCTTAAAGTGTAAAAACACACCATCGAGAGGCACATCACACTTGGGAAACACCCCCTAATACCTCCCCTTTTGTTCTGGTGACAACTGTAAAGCCTATTCACATTTGTGCATTGCAGTAACACGCATTAACAAGCACATCAGTGCAATGCACCTGCTCTGTATACGGTGCATTGTGGTATCAATGATTTAAAAATGGCAGCCCAACGAACTGTATGATAGAGGGGAACACAACGCAATGCACATGGGCTGTAGTGTGCTGATTTGCGAAGAAAAAAAAAAAAAAAAAAAAAAAAAAAGATTCCTGCATGTTTTTATGGTCTTTAGTCCATTGCATGCATTGGCAACCCATTGCTGGGCTGCCTCGGCTCAACATGTGTAAATGCAATGGATCAAGAGTAGGAACTAAATCTATGAACTTACTATTGCTATCTTGCGACAATGGCAAATATGACAAATAGCAAGGGTGATGATACCTAAAGGGGACAACAACAGTACAAAGTTTGACAGATACTAGAGATGTAGGGCAATGAAGCCCCAGAGTTGTCCCATAAAAGCTCAACCCTTTTCCCTTTTATACCCAACGAAAGTAAGGAGGAGAACCATAGTTACATATGGTTGTGCCTAAAGGTTTGCATACCCTGGCAGAAATTGTGAAATCTTGGCATCGATATTGAAACTATGACTGATCATTCCAAAAATCAGTCTTTTATTGAAGGATAGTGATGAAGCCATTTACTATCACATAGTTGTTTGGCTCCTTTTTAAAATCATAACAAAAATCACCCAAATGGCCCGATCAAAAACATTTCCATACCCTGGAATGTTGAGCCTTGGTACAGTACACAAGGTGACACACATATGTTAAAATGGCAATTAATAGGTTAATTTCCGACATCTGTGGCTTTTTAAATTGCAATTAGTGTGTGTATAAATAGACAATGGGTTTGTTAGCTCTCACAGTGGATGCACTGAGCAGGCTAGATACTGAACCATGGGGAGCAGAAAAAGAGAAAAAAAAAAAACTGTCAAAAAACTTGCATAACAAGGTAAAGGAACTTTATAAAAGATGAAAGGAAATATAAAGATATCCAAATCCTTGAATATGCCAGACAGGACTGTGCAATCACTTGAGAAGTGGACAATTTGGGGATCTCATGAAACCAGGTAGCCCAAGAAAGATTGCAGCCACAACTGCCAGAAGAATTTTTCAGGGTAAAAAGAAAAACTCACAGGTAAATTCAGGAGAAATACAGGACTACTCTGGGGGAAAAAAAAAAAAAAAAAACAAAAAAAAAAAACAGTGTGGTTGTTTCAACAAGCATAATATTATGATGACACATGAACAAAAATGAGCTGCATGGTCGAGTTGTTATAAAGAAGCCTTTACTGCACCAATTTCACAACACAGCCCAATTATAATATGCCCAGCAACACCTAGCCATGCCTCACAGCTTCTAGCACACTGTAATCTGGAGTGATAAGACAAAAATGGATCTTTATGGTCACAAGCATCAGCACTATGTTCGGGGAGGCATCAACAAGGTCTATAGCGCCATGAATACCATCCCAACTGTGATGCATGGAGGTAGCTCACTGATGTTTTGTGGGTGTGTGAGCTGTAAAGGCATGAGGAATCTTGGAAAATTTGATAGCTAGATGAATGCAGCAGGTTATCCAAAAATACCAGCAAACAACTTGCATTCTTCTGCTCGCAAGCTGCACATGGGGCGCTCCTGGACTTACCAGACCAACAATGACCCCAAGCACAAGGTCAAGTTGAGCCTCCAATGATTACAGCAAAAAAAAAAAAAAAAAAAAGATGAAGGTTCTGGAGTGGCCATCACAGTCTCCCGACCTTAATATCATCGATTTACTTGTTGCCATGTATTGTTTTATGGTTGTGCCATTCTGTCAATACCTACAGTTGAATATGAATCCCATAAGAAAAAAAAAAGAATTGTGTTTTGTCTGCTCACTCATGTTTTCTTTATAAATGGCACATACTATTATCAATTCTCAAAAGGCTATGTGCAAACTTTTGAGCACAACTGTATATATATATATATACACATGTGCCAGTTTATAATGTACATTGATAAGAATAAAAAAAAAAAAAAAAAAAAAAAAAAACACACACACACACACTTACCTGAGCGTTGCTGCCCCCTATTTCTACAATCTTGTAGCGAACCGGGTACATTAGCTCTATGACCTTGTCGTAATTGCCTGTGTCAAATTCCACAAGTGCCTGACACAGGGCAGGCCGAGATGACCAATAAGAGAATGTTGGCAGTTTTCACCTTGTGATCTAAACAGAAAAAAAAAAAACAGAACAAAAAAAACCATCAAACAATGTTGTATGTTAGTCTCATGGACGGGCTTTTGTTTATGTCAGTTCTGTATCTCTACCAAGGGCGGACTGACCATTCGAGCACTCGGGCACTGCCCAAGGGCCCGGAGTCAGTAGGGGGCCCCGTGAGATGCCCCTGGTACCTTTCATTGGCTTTTTGATAGGCTTTTTTGGGTGTGGACGAGGACAAAGGGGCCCCACGATCCCCTATTGCCTGGGGGCCCCATGAGTTGTCAGTCCATCCCTGATCTCTACCCATAAAAGCCAATGGGAATACAAAGCAGGTTGACATAACTAAGAAGCAGGTCAAATGCACATCAAATGCACATCAAATGCACATGTCAATGAACTGTGAACGATGTCAGAAGCATCATAAACGGATCTCCAATTCAAATCAATGCACCTGAAGCAACGCATCTGCCTATTCACACAAGCCCCAAGACTATCAACTTAGGCTAATAAAAGTCATGAGGCTTCAGTGGCCTTCACATATACAAAAATCACTGGCAGTCCTTTTTATTGTTTGAGCTTGTGCTAACCTTCTCAGGTATACAAACAGTAACTAAGAGAGGGATGTTAGATGTTGAGATGGTGTGAACTACTTGCATGAATGAATGCAAAGCTTCCTCTGATTGGCTGAGTCCGATTCTGACATCATCCGCCTGCCTATCCGCTTCAGCCAACTACAGGAAGCATTTTATTAATTCATAGAGTACAACGTAACATGTGAGTGGATGAGTAGCACTCTGCCTGACTTGATTTTGGTCTGGGAGTGGGACAGGGACATCCGATTCCACTGCTGGAACACAGAGCTGTGTACTGTACCTACTGTAGCTGAGACTACATACAGTTTATACAGCACTCCAAGCTGCTTCATCTGTTAGTGAAGCTTGGTCCAAACAAACGTTTTACAGCTTTTAAGTTGAAGAAAAGCTTAACTATTAAACTAATCATGCAGCCATCACTGGAGTGCATATAGACAGAATGTTTCTACCGCATGAGATCAGCATTACTGAGATGCAACACATGATAAAACTAAGTGTGACATGGAGGATCATTAGCTCTAGTGGTAGATGTGTTTTCAAGTAAGTTCACGTCAGTCAGGAACTAGATTTAGGGGCCTGGTAGCCCATGTTTATTAAAAAAAGGCAAAGAACAAAAGTCCAACATAAGCTTTCCCACACAGGGGTTCTTCTCCAACCAAAACACAAAATTAAAAATACAAAGCCACCTGGCTCTCTGGTCAGCAGTACCTCTGCTTGTTTGGTCTCCCAGACCACTGGCTATTCCTTGCACACAGCCTTGGACTTCTTTAATGCGCACAGCCTTAAGCTCCTTAACACACACAGCCTCAAGCTTCTTGGATGCATAGAATCTATCTCAACAGCAGCCACTGCTCCAACTCTCAGCAGATCATCATTATAAGGGCTGTGTGCACCTGGATATACACCCTGCCGATTGACCACAAAACCCGGTCACTGGGTTGGAGGTATCTTCCCTCCCAAGGCACATTGAAATCTGCAAAGTATGGAGCCCCAACCGGAAATATCAAAATCCAGATAAATCTGTAAAATCAGTTTTCTGGCCTCAAAATTAAAACTTCCCAGTTCTACACTGCAAATGTGCAAACCCTGTGTCCTGACAATTTCTACCTATTTTCACCCAATGACAGGGCCTTGCACTGTTACATAAGGTAAAAAAGTAATTTTATTTTTAAAAAATGGCAATTGTTACAGATACATGGTGCTTTAGTGGCCTACCTGAAACATCACAAGGGAAGCAAAGGAGAATTGGGAAACAAAGGAGAAATGGCCGATGTAAAAGCTCTGCACATTTCAAAGCACAATTAATGAATGTATGTATGTAGGTTAAAAAAAAAAGCCAGGAGGGCCTGTCAAAGCCACATGACCAAATCTCCAATTGCAGCTGCACACGTTATGAATGGGCAGTAATAGGCAGGCCGAGGTGCCTTGCAAGTTCTTCATTCTAATTTATGGTATATTATTTTGACTGTAGCATGAGATTCAGCCTGGGAATGCGTCAGGGGGATGCTCTGTGGCAGTTTTCCATTTTTTCCTTTATTTTATTATTGTCTATTTTTCTACATGCAATGTTGTTACATACTTAGAAAGCTCTTTCATTGTTTCCAGCAATTGGGTTGTCATCTCAGCATCCTTTGCTCCCAAGGATGACATCAGAAAGTGAAGATCATTAAAGATCAGCAAGTGATCATTGGTATGCTTCTTTGTAACTTGGACAAGTTTGTTCCATCTGTCCCCCACATCCACACCTGGACACACCAAACATGAAAAAACAAAAGAAAAGATTATAATTTATATATATATATATATATATATATATATATAATATATATATATATATATATATATATATATATATATATATATTCTGCTCAATATGCTGCATTGTTCTTCATTTCTTGCATCTCTGAATACAGTTTATTGGCCTATATTAATGACCCCATTTGCACCATGTTACACCCTAACTACAAGTGTAACATGGTGCAAAAGGTGGAGTTAACCCGGTAAAAATGTTTTAAAGCTGGATTCTAGGCCGCTGGAACAAGCACAAGTTATTGCAGCTCTGTAACAATTAACTCTTTATTAAAGTTGAACTGGAGCAGAAGTTTTATCACATATTTATAAAGTTAATTGAACCTTGAACTAATATCTTCTTGATATTTAATTCAGTCACCCAAACACTGATAAATCCACAACTGAATGCAGAATAACAAGTGATATCCATTTCATAAGACTGGTGACTGATGTGCCCCCTCTTATCCCAGCCACCAATCTTGTAACATCCCCAGTATAGTTCCTTCATAAGTAAGCAGCAATGTAATTACACTGCCACTTGCGATAGTGGGAGGACCCTGAGAGTCCAGTCTGACCTACCCCACTCACTCACTTACCGGTGCCTCATTGCCTCCCTCATTCACACCATTGCTACTATAATTCCTAAGGCATTGTGGAAATTGTAGTTTGTTATACCCTGACAGCAAGTGACGTTGGAGCTTTACTAGTACCACCACCAGGTACTTGGGCAATAGCCTGTGTTTTTAAAATAAAAAGTAATGATGTCACAGAGATTATGAAGATAAATTTCTCGGCAAACAGACCAGTTAAAAAAAAATATATAGACACGTTTAGTAACTGGCCTAGAGTTCATCTTTAAAATTTTTTTTTATTTTTTTAAATTACAAGTAGTGTAAATAGCTGAATATAATTAGGGTTCAGCCTCTGACAATTCCTGTATAGCAGAGCTCAAGCTGTGGAGAAGAAAGGGCAGGACTGAGAGCCAATCAACTGCACTGCATCCATTTTGACAAGGAGCATGCTGATAAGAGGAGAGAGCAGAGTTAACAGAGTGAATATACACTTTATTGCCAAAAGTATTGGTTGGCCTGCCTTTACACACACATGATTAATGGCATCCCAGTCTTAGTCTGTAGGGTTCAATATTAAGCTGGCCCACCCTTGCAGCTATAACAGCTTCAACTCTTCTGAGAAGGCTGTCCACAAGGTTTAGGAGTGTGTCTATGGGAATGTTTGACATCAGTGCCTGACTTCACAAATGCACTTCGGGAAGAATGGTCAGATAAGAAGGCCTGGCTCGCAGTCTCCCCTGTAATTCATCCCAAAGGTGTTCTATCAGGTTGAGGTCAGGACTCTGTGCAGGCCAGTAAAATTCCTCCACCCCAAAATCGCTCATCATGTCTTTAAGGACCTTGCTTTGTGCACTGGTGAGCAGTCATGTTGGAACACGAAGGGGCCATCCCAAAACTGTTCCCGAAAAGTTGGGAGCATGAAATTGTCCAAAATGTCTTGGTATGCTGATGCTTTAAGAGCTCCCTTCACTGGAACTAAGGGGCCAAGCCCAACCCCTGAAAAGCAACCCCACACCATAATCCCCCCTCCACCAAACTTAACACTTGGCACAATGCAGTCAGGCAAGTATCATTCTTCTGGCAAACCACCAAACTCAAACACGTCCATCAGATTGCCAGACAGAAAAGCGTGATTTGTCACTTCAGAGACCACATCTCCACTCCTCTAGAGTCCAGTGGCGGCGTAATTTACACCACTGTATCTGACACTTTGCATTGCTCTTGGTGAGGTAAGGCTTGGATGCAGCTGCTCAGCCATGGAAACCCATTCAATGAAGCTCTCTATGCAGTGTTGTTGTGCTAATCTGAAGGCTACATGAAGTTTGGAAGTCTTTAGCTATAGATTATGCGGACAGTTGGCAACTTCTGCACTTCAGCATGCACTGACCCCGCTCTGTCATTTTATGTGGCTTACCACTTCTTGGCTGAGTTGCTGTTGTTCCCAGTTGCTTCTACTTTGTTATAATACCACTAACAGTTGACCTTGGAATTGTTAGTAGCAGGAAATTTCACGGATAGACTTTTTGCACAGGTGGGAACCTATCATGGTACCACGCTTAAATTCACTGAGGTCCTGAGAGCGACCCATTCTTTCACAAGTGTTTGTAGAAGCAGTCGCATGCCTAGTTGCTTGATTTTATACAATCTATGACCTTGGGAGGTGATTGGAACACCTGAATCCAATGCTTTGGAGGGGTGTCCCAATACTTTTGGCAATATAGTGTATGTTCACTGTTCAGTCAGAATACTGGGGGTGGAAAGAGGACAATGCTCTGTACCTCAACTGTATTGTAAGTTGTGTCATCTCTCTGGTTATGCTGTGTAAATCTAAGAATTGAATAGACAAAAATATAAAATATTTCGAAAGTGAAACAGCTACCTTATATGTATTTCATCTGGGTATTTTGCTCTTTGTCTGAAGTTAAGGTCTAAGTTGAGTTAGTACAAAAAACCTGGAGATTGAAGAAAATCATGCCGGACAAAAGTATGCTGTTGAATTCAGATTGGCAGCAATGATAGGATGGTATAACCATGGACTACCAAATCCTGGATAATGTTTCCCTTGGTGTTTATGCACTGTATAAAAAAGGTAAAGAGGAATTAAAAAAAAGTGGACCTAAACATAAAAAAGGGGAGACTTACTATGCTATAGGGAACATCTAGACATGTTAATTGTGCCTAATCTAGTTCCTCTGAAAGATAGAAGTGAACTTCCTGTGCCTACAGCCTCACAGCTGTATATCTGTATTACAAGATGATCTAAAGCACTGCTGCCTCTGAAAAGATTTGGAGTAAGACTTGTTGACATCACTAGTGTGCTGCACGCTGTACTCCTTGCTGGACAAGAAGCTGTAACTGAAGACCTGCAGTGCAAGGATATCCCTGTTTCTGCTTCATTCATTCTGTGGATCTATGTTTTTGTCTCCACTCCTGCTGCTTATTGAATTTTCTTCAGTTTTGGGTCCAGTGCCATTTGAGAGCCAGCAGCATGAAACCAGTAATCTTTATCACTGCCTGTAAAGCTGGCATTCTGGCCACCACTGTGGCATGCTTTTTATCGACCACCAATGTAAGGGGCATTCTTGCCACTGATTAATTACTTTTAACTGGGGTTCCCTGAGACCCAAATATTATTTCAAGGGTTCCCTGTGGTAAAAAGGTTGAGAAAGGCTGCCATAGACATATGCCTGTAAACATCAAGTTGTAGCTTGTTTTATTCAAAGATGAAGTCTTCCAGCTGCCCGGCCTGTCCAGGGCTCCTAAGACCAAAAGGTTCTCCTGAGGAAGATGGGGTCTGTTTAGGGTCGGTCATTATTCCCTTCAAACCACACATCTGGATGTAGAATTATTAGATGCAGAAATAGCGAGATTGCATAACAGGCTTCTGGTGTCTTTAATGTATGGCCAGATGTGGATTGACAAATGTGGAGAATCATACCTTCCATCTGAAGTCGACACAGCAGTGATGAATTATCAACAATATCCAGCATGCTTCCACTTGAGATACAGGAGGGGGCGATCTGCGGAGAAGGACATCAGTGAAAATAAAGCTCTACTCACACCTTTCTGTTCTTCTTTAAAGCCCCACTATAGTGAAAAAAATATTGTATTCTGGAAAGTGTATTTTGAAAATAACTGTAATGATCGTATTCAGTACTTGAATTCCTTGTATTTCACATGGTTTTAATTATATAGTTCTCCAAATTTTCATGCAGATCTAGCTGTCCTGCAAAAATGACAACTGCAGTGGTTGGGACTAACTAACACTTCCAGGGTCCTTACAATGGTCATCTTTTATTAATTTACACCTTTTCTCCAAAAATAAAAAAAAGTCTCTGTACCTGCTTAGAATTGTTAGCTGGAGTTTGGCTTAGACATTTTTAGGTAACCAGCAAAAAAATTAATTTAGAACTACATGTCCATATGAGCCTAGACTGTCCACAGAGTTACAACAATTCTATGAAATTTCACTGCAGATCCCTGTAATATGTGGAAAATCAAAGGATCTACTGGCAGCTATAAAACTATGTTACAAGGAAAACTAAGGAAAAAAAAATGAAATGCTGTATGTCATGTTTGACATATATATCAGAAGCTGCTGCCAAGGGAAACCAGCTTTCACATTCCACACTGCAGATGCACCCTTCTGCTCTTGGACGTTCAGTGATTAAGGAGAAAAAACAGGTTTAACTCTAAAAAAAAATTCTATTTCTAACTGTGGAGAGACCAGTCCCAGAGTTTCCAGTTACCCCATATTTTTGTAAATTTAGCAGGGCATCCCGTATGCTGAAGGGGGGGGGCGGTCTGGAGAGATTCACTTCTGGGAAATCAGTTTTTGTGCTATAAAAATAGGCGAAGAAACGCTGTGAATGTATGTGGAGCAGAAATTTCCTTTGTCCAGGCAACTCAATATACACATTTTGGGGTCAGCTGATAGATTAACAGCAATAGTATCCAGAACAAGGCTCCAGTATCTAACAAGTCTGTGACAAAAACAGGTCTATAGTGCTTGCTGCTCTAAAGGGTAGTTTTACCATCACTAAGAGGCACTGACAAGGAACAGGAGGCTTGACACATTTCACACTAAACATGCTTACTTCTAAGGACCATTTTTTATTTTGTTCACAATTTAAACTGAAGAAGGATGTACTTCCTTGCTGTACATGTCGATACTCACATGATTGTCAAACACAGTCAAGGCAGCCTCATATTCACCCTGGAAGACAGATAATGCACACTGGCACTAGAGCAAGAAAGAGAAAAAAAGAGAAAGAGAGAGAGAAAGAAGAAAGAGAGAAAGAAAGAAAAGAGAAAGAGAGAAAGAAAAGAAAGAAAGAGAGAAAGAAAGAAAGAAGAAAGAAGAAAGAAAGAAAGAGAGTAAAGAAAGAAAGAGAAAGAAAGAAAGAGAGAAAGAAAGAAAGAGAGAAAGAAGAGAGAGAGAGAAGAAAGAAAGAGAGATGAAGAAAGAAAGATGAGAGAAAGAAAGAGAGAAAGAAAGAGAGAGAGAGAAAGAAAGAAAGAGAGAGAGAATGAAAAGAGAGAGAGAAAGAAAGAGAGAAGAAAGAAAGAGAGAAAGCAAGAGAGAGAAAGAAAAAGAAAGAAAAAAAAAAAGAAAGAAAGATAAAAATGAAGCACTGGATACGTTTTTGGTAGCCGAGTTAAATTATTAACACTCCAAAAAACAGGGGTACCTCGTAGGAAAGGGGGTTACTCAGAGTTGAGAATCCATGTAAGGACAAACTAGTAAGAGGACAAAACAAATGTCCAAGATTCCAACATCTTTTAATATTACATTGGTTCACAGCAAGGAAAAAAAGTAAAAGAAAAAAAAAAACAAAACAAAAAAAGCACAATGTGTTTTGTTGGCTAAACAAATTCTGACTTCTTCAGGGCTCTAGTTTAAGATGATGGGACTCAAATGTGTAGGAAATGAAAACACTCCTGTTGCAGTGCCATTTATTATCACTGGCACCAGATGCACTATTAAGTGTTGTTGCAGTGCCCATTCAGTGACCACAAATGTGAGTGTTTTGTGATGTATCGGCAAAAAAAAAAAAAAGACATGTGTTCATTTATTGACTATTAATGCACATGGCAGCCCATTCAAGATGAAATTGCTTCACTCATTGTACGTTAATGCACATCACAACATACTTCAGTAATACTGTTATGCACCACATACTTCAGTATTAGCAGGAGGGACTGACAGCCTCTGCAGCGCTTCCCAAGCTGCTGTAATCTAATTGGAAAGGACTCTACTATTGCAGTCAGCACATCGGGATCCACTCAAGAGTATTATTTCTCTTTTCCCTGGTGCCTAACAGGTGAGGGACTAAGCCCAGGATTAAGCAGGCTGCACACATTGGCAAATAGTGACAATGGACCACATGCTGGACGGCAGGGATATGGGTAAACCAATTATTTTTTGTTTAGACAGTTAACTCAAATCCATTTAAAAAGGAATTTCAGGCAACCCCTCATGGCACAAGCATCTAGGAAAAGGAAAAAAGGTAAGGGATTCTTACTATAGGCCTCCTCTATGAAGTGTCTGAAAGAGAAACAGTCTGGATTTCTTCCAAGCAACAATCAGTGTCTCCCTTCCAAATTTTACACTACCAATGGGCAAGGAAGAAGCGGACTGGTAGCTCTGGGAGTATTAGAGAATGTTCTTCAATAAACATATATACAAGGCCAACATATGCCTAATCAGATGAGTGATCTTACCTTCTCGATGAAATACAAAGCCCAGTGCCAGTAATTATGCAGGCAAGCATATCACCATCCTGTAAGGAAAAAAAAAAAAAAAAAAAAAAAAAAACAACAAATCTCTTAAGATTTAAAAAATATATAAGCGAGAAATATATTACTATAAGTCTTATCAAGACAAATCACAGTCTATTTTAAAATTCAGCTTTAAAGTGACCCTATTCAACACTTTGCAGTGTTTGAATATCTGCTGCTGCATGATGTATATTCTCCTAACAGATTGGACATTACTACAGGACATACAAGCCAGTGGAGGAACCACAGTGAGCGGCAGGGAAAAACAGTATTTACACACCTAGAAGTGTCCAATACCTACAGCAGCCAAGAAGCAGCAAAGCAGCAACATTTATGGACATGGCCTGACCAAAAAAAAAGAAGTGTAGATGCTTGTGATTTACAGGCTGGGGTTGGTTTAGATTCAACCCTGCTGTGAAAAGGTCACTTTACTAGCAATAAATTCTTCTTTGGCCATTTTCAGCTGCAACAGCTCACATTGACAACATCTTCTCTCACTTCCAGTTCTTGTTTCTGGGACAAGAATTAAAGTATAACTATAACCAAAAATTTTCTTTTTCATTTTGGATAGAAAATGGGGAGGGTTATACCCCTTGTAAGTTTCCTTTTTGCCATCTGTGTCCCATTGTAGAGATTTCCATTAACTTCCTGTCCCACAGCCATAACAAGAAGTGAGTGCAAATCCCTCCAAAGTGAAGGAAATCCCTGACTGTCACCAGAATTAGTGTCTCTGTTGGAAGATTTTGTCCCTTCTATCTATTCTGATGAAAACTCAAAATTTGGGATTTTCTTTTACTTTCATGCTTGATGATAACGGACACCAAGACAACTAGAGAGGTTGAATTTCCCTAATGGGGACACAGACAGCAATAAACAAACATGATAGATGTTCTAATCTCTCTACACACTATCCAAATATAAAAAAGAAAAAAAATGCCTTTTATTCTACTATAAGGCAAAATCTCCCCAACAGGACAGAAAAAAAAAAAAAACAACAACAAGGATTTTAGTCCCTCCCTACGCTAAAGAATAAAACGTTTTGGCTTTAGGTACACTTTAGGTGCTGACAAATCTAACCTGCATGTGGATGCTAAAATACATTTATATTGGTTGCAGAGAACACTGGGATAAATCAGTATTGTTAAGTAAAAGAGGCCTGTGCATTCTGCCTTGAATCTTAGTGTGCTTTGTGTTTTTCCGTGCAGTAATCCAGCATGAAAATTTGCCTCTGTGTAGGGGTTGCAGACAGTCTGTAGTAGGAAGAACTGCTGTGTTCCTCTCACTGCTCTGTTCTCTACATGGGCTATGTATGTTAGTGATGATGTGATGCTATTTTGTCTGGAACAAGTGGATTTATATCCTTTATGGCCATTTAAAAATATATCTGAATTAAAATTTTTGTGCCTGGAGTTCATATTTTAATCTCAAGGATTAGAAGCTTAAAACATTGCTTAGTTTCTTTAATTAGTATTTTAGATAGAAAAGCCTAGGTTCTGATTTAGTCTTAAAAGAGTAGTTTTTTTTTTTTCAATTTACACTTACAAGAAAGAACTGCACTCCTGTGATTCACAGAAGGACAGTCAAATGAGCTTTGGGAATCTGACTTTGATCCTGTTCTATAGGAGTCCATATTTTAGCATCCCTATGCTGGCAAAAGTCAAGTGGCCCAGGTGGGTAGCCTGATAATATCATTGCAGGTCAAGGACTGCCAGACCGCCAAATTGCTTACGGAGAGTGAGCGGTGGACGTCGGATTCAAGGTCTCTTATTCGCCCAAATAAAGTCTAAGAGTAAAGCGTGAGCTTGTTTGAAATATGTGGATGGAATATGAATCGGTAAGGCTCGAAATAAGTATAAAAATTTGGGCAAGATACTCATTTTAATAATGTTAAAATGCCCAAACCAAGAATGAAGGCCACCACGCTATTTCTCCAGCAGAGCAGGTACCCAACCTAAAAGCGGTGGAAAGTTTAAGATAAATGTATGAGAAATTCTTGGCGGGATGTTAGCTCCTAGGTATTTCAGTGCCTCGTGAGGCCATTTGAATTTATAATTTGATTGTAGGGATCTAATAAGAGGTTGTGGCATTGCAATGCCGATCGCTTCCGATTTTGAAAAGTTTATTTTATTTTAAGATGAGCCAGAGACCCATAATGCTTGAACTCACGCAATAAGTTAGGAAGTGAGATCCCGGGACTGGTTAAGGAGAATAGCATGTCATCTGCGTAAGCAGAAACTTGGTATTGAGCATCTCCTATACATAACCCTTGGATGTCAGGGGTTGGTGCAGACCTTTGGTACAGCGTAGACACTGGAAATCCAATGAAGCATGTTTTTTTTCCCGAGGCCGATATATTGTAAAACGGCCAGCATGAACTGCCAATTTACCAGGTCAAATGCTTTTTCAGCATCTGTACCCAGAAAAAGACAGGGGGTATCGGTCTGACTGGCTATATGAATCAGGCTGAGAACCTTAATAGTGTTATCTTGTGCTTCACGGTTTGGAATAAACACCACTTGGTCAAGATGGATTAGCTGTGGCAAAATGTTGTAATCTGGTGGCTATTATTTTTGTAAAAACGTTTCAGATTATGTTTTCAATGATCAAGAAAATTGGTCTGTAGTTTCAGGATCCTTCCCCTCGAACAGTGATTTGATCAATGATCAAAGAGCATTAAACATCTTAAAATTGGTCTGTAGCTACTGGGCATGACGAAGGATTGACTGCCTTCGCTTCCATCCATTTTTGATGCCTAGAACTCTTGACAAAGTGAGGGGGTATGAGCATTTCAGATAATGTGTCTGAACTGAGGAAAATGTAGATAATGAGTAAAATTCTCCAAACGCTTAGGCAATATGTTTGGGCAGAGATGCTTGTTGACCATTGGCCCGCATTATATGAGGAACGTAAGTTGCTGCTGTTTGATCATGTAAGAACTTGGCCAAGAATCACATTTATTGCCAGACTCCTAGAAGATGCATCTACAGGTTTCAACCGTGGCTTTGGCTCTAAACCGTAAGAGGTCTGTCACTTGCTTCCGATGGAGTAGCAGTTTCCCTTCTACAGACTGGGACAGAGCAGGTTTATGGCGGGATTCCAATTTATGAATGGCTGTTAGTAAGGTGTTTAATTGTTTCTCCTGCAGCAGACTTTCATTAAGTTTCCAAGAGAATCTCTGAGAGGAAAGAGCGTTGGACAGGGAGTATTGGAACGTGATGGGAGCATGGTCCGACCACGTGATTTTCCCTATGGAAACAGCTGTTACCGCATGAAGAGGTCTACAGTATGTAGGATCAGGAAGAAATCGATCCGCGAATAAATTTGTGAGGTAGAGAATAGAAAGTATAGTCCCTTTCACCAGAGTGGAGCAATCGCCAGACATCTATTAGTTGGGCCTTTTGAAGAGTTTGAGAAATGCGTTTGCGAGAACTAGGGAGAGGGGGTGTACAAATTATGAGCCTGGAGATGTATCCATAGTAGGAAATCAGTGGGACATTAAAAATTTCCCACTAGTATTAGAAGGCCTTCTAAAAATTCCAGCAGTTTAGTCAGAGGGCTACAGATAAAAAGGTCCTGTTAACTGTCCCACCTTATCTCTTTACAGTTCTGTACCCTGTTATGACTTGTGAAAGATTTCTTAGAAATGTCTAAAAATACCTGCTTCTCTCAGCAAATATGCCGCTTCTTAGCTTCACACTACAGTGCTCTGTGCTGGCAGAGCTGAGAAATGACAACACCCCTCAGCGCAAGTGTCTTTGCAAAAGGAATTAAGAGGGAGGGGGAGTGTTTGACCAGTTCTGTTGCTGAGTGGTAATTATTGAGAGCACTAGGCTCAATTCTGGTGCTAATTGGACTGCACAGCCATATACAGACCCCTGCTTAACTGCTTTAATAAGAAAGTGGAGGTAAGACTATGAAAATGGAAGTGGTTTGTCCAATGTCAACCTATTTCTGTCACTTCATTTCACCATTTAAGGGTAATTTGTCTTTTAACTTCTTGCCAACCGCAGATAGCCGAATGACGGCTACACTACGGCCGGCCAGTTCTGGGAGGGCATCATATGACGTCCTCCCAGAACGCGTTCTCCTGCGTGCCCCTGGGGGCGTGCACCCGTCGATCTTCGTGATCGCTGTGTCCTACGGACACAGCTGATCACGTGATGTGGTAAAAAGCCAATCACAGCGGCCTTTTACCACGTGATCAGCCGTGTCCAATGACACGCTGATCACCGGGAAATGCAATTGCTGGTTCTCGGCTGCACTTTCCTCACGCTGTCAGAGCGCGAGGAAAGTTTTGCCGAGAACCGGCAGTTGTCAGAGCAGGGATCAGCACCAATCATCAGGGCACTGATGATCAGTGCTCTGATGATCGGGACCCAGCAGTGCCACCCACCAGTGCGCCCACCTGTGCCCAGCCCACCACCTGTCAGTGCCACCCAGCAGTGCAACCCACCTGTGCCCAGCAGTGCCACCTACCTGTGCCCAGAAGTGCCACCCACCTGTGCCCACCAGTGCCACCCACCTGTGTCCACCAGTGCCACCCACCTGTGTCCACCAGTGCCACCCACCTGTGCCACCCACCTGTGCCCATCATGCAGTGCTGCCAGTCAGTGCCAGTCAGTGCCCAGTGGTTGTGCCGGTCAGTGCCCAGTAGTTGCGCCAGTCACCCACCTAGCAGCAGTGCCGCCAGTCAGTGCCACAGTAGCAGTGCCGCCAGTCAGTGCCACCTATCAGTGCTGTCTATCAGTGCCCCATCATCAGTGCCACCTATCCGTGACACCTCATTAGTGCTGCCTATCAGTGCGCCTATCAGTGTGCATCAGTGCTGCCTATCAGTGCCAATCAGTGACGCCTATCAGTGCCAATCAGTGCCGCCTCATCAACACATCAAAAGAGAAAAATTACCTGTTTGAAAAATTTTATAATAGAAACAAAGAAAAATCTTTTTTTTTTTCACATTTTTGCAATTTTTTTGTTTATAGCACAAAAAGTAAAGCGCCACCAGTGCCGATTAAATACCACCAAAAGAAAGCTCTATTTGTGAGGAAAAAAATGATAAAAATTTCATATGGGTACAATCTTGCATGACCGTGCAATTGTCAAAGTGCGACAGCGCTGAAAGCTGAAAATTGGCCTGGTAAAGAAGGGGTATAAGTGCCCGGTAGGTAAGTGGTTAAAGAGGTTGTAAAGACTCAAAAGGTTTTTACCTTCATGCATTCTATGCATGAAGGTAAAAAACCTTCTGTGTGCAGCTTCCCCCCGCAGCCCCCCAATACTTACCTGAGCCCTATTGTGATCCAACGATGTGGACGAGATCCTCAGCTCTCCAGGGACTCTCCCTCCTCATTGGCTGAGACAGCAGCAGAAGCCATTGGTTGCCATCCATAGCCAGTGAGCCAATGGGGAGGGAAAGGGGGTGAGACAGAGCCACGGCTTTGTGTGTGAATGACACGAAAAGCAGCGGCTCGGGAGGGAGCCTGCTCAGGCACCCCCATTGGAAGCAGCTTGCTCTGGGGGGCACTAGGCAGGAGGGTGGGGGTCAGGAGCGCTGGCAGGGGACTCAAGAAGAAGATTAGGGCTGCTCTGTACAAAACCACTGCAAGCAACAGAATAGTATGACATGTTTTTTATTTTAAAAAACGGCTTTAAATATCACTTTAAATATTGTGCTTAAGCAGGAGACATGCTAGAGACAACAATTTCTTACCTTCCAGTTCTTCTCAGTTTTCTGTAAGAAAGCAAGGCCTTTTTCTAGATCTGCCTTCATTTCATGGACATGAGCGATGGTGTGGACAGACCAGCCATCCTTCGGCTCTATGGCCAGAGCCTAGACATACAGAGACAAAACAGCACTTGAAAATGAGAGTAATGCATAAAATAAGAAACAATAACAGACACTAAAAGGGGGGGGGGTTACTGTAAAGAGAATTAGCTGCCAGAAAAAGTGGTCATTGACCTAGAAAAAGTATGCAGCAAGTGAAGTCTGATCTACTCATCTTGCATACTTGTATTGTGTCATTGACTCATTTATCTTTTGAGAAATATAAAACACAGTAGAAATACAGAACTACAGAGATAGGATTGAGTGCTCCAGTGGCTCTGTGTTCCTGAAGTAGCAGAGGTGTGGAATTTTTTTTTTTCAAGAAACTACTTGTCCAGGGACTAAATCAAAGTCCCAATTTACTTGTCCCTCATGACAATCTACTTGCCCTAAAAAAAAAAAAAAAAAAAAAACCAATAAATTTTAACCAAAACCGTATTTAAATAAGGTTGTTTATCACCTCCCTGCCTGTCTCCAGCACCGCACCCGGGAACTAGCAGGAAGGGGAGAGACCTTGCAGCGTGACGAGAAACGTGCTCGTCAGAAAGGGGAAAAGTCGGGCTCTCTTAATACTCTTCAGAAGTGCATCTGCTGAACAAGTAAATGGAGGGTGCTGGCCCCAATGAGAAAAAAAAAAAACAAAAAAAAAAAAAAAAAAAAAACACACACAACTTTGTTCCTTCAGGTAACCATCACACACAGAAGCGCTTTGGTGCTCAGTACAAGTGCATGCTGAACAGTCAAATCAAGCACCTGACAATCACTGCGGTACCACATGTGTATGTTAGTTATTTGTACCAGTAGCAGGGCCAAGAAACACTGGTGTGCAATTTACAATTTTTTTAACCTGCCTAAAACACACTGACACCAATACCAATTTAAAAAACCTCAGTGGGAGGAATTGTGCCCCATTGTTGGTGTCGGTGGGAGGCACAGTGCCTTATCCTTGGTGTCAGTGGTGGTGTCGGGGAAGCGCAGTGCCCCATCCTTGGTGTCAGTGGGAGGCGTAGTGCCCCACTGTTGGTGCTAATTAAGGAATTATTGCCCCATTGTTGGTGTCAGTTGGAAGAAGAGTGCCTCGTACTAGTGGGAGGTATAGTACCCAGAGTGCCAGATAAAGGTATGCAAAGGGCCACATTCAGTCCTTGGGCCACAGTTTGGAGTCTACTGCTTTAGGGTAATCACAGAGGACAAGGAGGCACTCTTTGTGTCTGGAGGAAAAGAGATTTAACCTCCAACTACAGAAAGGCTTCTTCACAGTAAGAGCTGTGAAAATGTGGTTTAAAAAAAAAAAAAAATATCTTTCCTAATATTCATAGCTAAAGTTTATCCAGGGAATATCCGAATGCCTCTTGGGGGATCAGGAAGGATTTTTTTCCCCTTTGGAGCAAATTGGATCATGTTTTTATTGGAGTTTTTTTTTTTCTTCCTCTGGATCAACTGAGTATAGGATTGAGTATATGGCGTGTTCCATTTGTGTGTGTTTTTTTCCCCACTGTGGGTTGAACTTGAACTTGATGGACTTGTGTCTTTTTTTAACCATACTAACTATGTAACTTCATCTGCCCTCCTAAAGTTCAGCTTTAAGTAAAAGTAACTAAAATCATTAAAAAAAAACAAACAAACAAAAAAAAAAAACCCAAACAACTTTACCTCACTGGCTACTTTAAAAGCTTGGTCATAAAAGTTTGTTTCAAGTAGTCCAAAAGAGTACATGCCTTTGACATAACTGGAAGAAAGAGAGAACACGATTACATTTCAATTCACTTGACTACTTCTGTTAAAGTGTTAGTTCACCCTGACATTTAAATTCACAGTTTGCAGTGCTTCACTGTAAAAGAATGCTTACTTATGCTGCTTATTCCATTTCCATCTTCCCCTCTCTCTTCTACCTAGACGGCAGGATGTACTAAGTGTTTGCCGCATGGCCCTAGCAACTTCATAGTTGCACTTTCTCATAGCTTAGTGTTCGGCAAGAGTGAAAGAAAGAGAAAGAGAGGACTGTGCATGCCCTTGCTGTGGGGACACCTGACAGGAGGGAAGGACCAGGAGTGCCGGAGGGGGGACCTAAGAATAGGAGGATCTGGGCTGCTCTGTGCAAAACCACTGCACACAGCAGAGAAGTATGATGTGTTTGTCATTTAAAAAAAAATATCACTTTAAACACAAGGAAATGTGCATGCACTGCAGAGATGTACCAAATATTTATTTTTTTCATTATTTTGCCCTAACTCACGGTTTATGTACTCACCTACTTAGAGGGGTTTTTGGAGTCCAGTGCGGAAGAACACGGGCCACAGAATCTCTAATTTGCATTTGTTGCCCAAGGTAGAAGTATGCATCATGGGCAAATTTCAGTGCCAGCAGATCCAAAGGATGACTCTGCAGGATCTCTTCCCAAAATGCAGCAGCCTTCACAATGTTTCTATTGACAAAAAAAAAAAAAAACATAAAAAAAAAGAAGAAGAAGAAATCACAACCAAGACTTCTTTCATTTCAATCATTTACAAAAAGCTGGATACTGACAAAAAAAAAACAAACAAGCCTGTTAGCCTGAAAATACAATTACATCTAGCACATCTAAGGACTAATAAGCTGTAATAAATTACATTTTTTGTTTGTGGGTTTAGGTCAGCCACCTTTTTCACACCCGACACCATAGACCTCAGATCAGCCCCAATTCCTGCACCTTCAGACCTCAAATCAACCACAATTCATGCAACTTCACAATTTAGATCAGCCCCAATCCTACACCATGTAATACACCTCATACGTGCTGCAGCTGGCATTTCCACTACAAGATAGATGGGAGACAGGCAGACAGGCTTCTTCACATAACGTCGTTCACAGTCACAGGTGGGTTTATGATTGTACTGGAAGGAGAGCAAGCACTTGAAAGTCTGTGTTGCCAGGTTGGCCACTCTGCACAACCAGCTTGCCCACCTCCATGATTTTTCAGAGGGGCAGGTCAGGCTTTGTTATCGAGAGCCCACTGAGTGGTCAATTACACACTGTATTCGCAGGGAGCAGGGTCCTACTGGCGGAACCTCAGGTCCTCCAATGGGCCAGTCTGAGCATGCACGGGTCACATGGCTATCCTCCACATGCCATTGAAAATGACATGATACATCCAACATGCACAGGTACGTTAGGCTGCCGATCCCCGGTTTAGATGCACTTTAGCTTTACAAATGGCAGCAACTAAATAGCTGCAAAAAGAGAAAGGCCACTATATACCCTTTAGCAAAGTTTTCAACTGCGGCTACATGTGACTGTTCGCGTTCTGTCAAGGATTGTGTCTTGGCCAGATCTGACATGGTCTTCAGATCATTTTGCAGTTCTTTATCTAATAGTGGTGGACGTCCTGTGCCAATTAGTTCCAAACCATTGGAAAGCACATATCCCATCACTATAAAAACAGGAGAAAAAAAACATGAGAACTATCAGGTAAATGAAATGTAAATACAGTCTGCATCATGTATGCAATAGATTTTACATACTCTCTGGGTATACAGTATAATGAAGCTGAACTCCAGCCTTTCCATCAGTCTTACCAATTGTACAGGCTCCTCTGAAATCGAAATTACTTACTCTGCACAATGAGCTTCACAGAAGCTGCAGCAAGTCCGATAGAGCACGTCTCATTTCCTAGCTCTCTCCTTCCTATCCTGAATATCCCTGGCCTTCCCCTTATAGAAAACTTTGATACATATTCACGGAAAAAAAAAAAAAAAAAAAAGAAAAGAAGATATAGTGAGGCATGAAGCCAAGAGTACCGTAAAATAGATCTTGGGTTTACTTACACATTATACAGCATACATGGGCATTCTCCTACTCTCAGCAGCTGAATGGAGCTTCAGAAGAGTAGAGGAAAGGAGAGTATGTGGTGCTGGTAGGAGGGGATTGGGGTAAACCTGTTTTTTCTTATTCATTCACAGATCATTCTTTTAGGATTGTGATAGAAAATAGAATACAAATTAAGAATGGATAGTTGGTCTGCTAGAAATACTTCTAGCAAAGGAGTTTAAAGTAGAACTGTAGGCAAAACCTTTTTTAAATTTTAGATAGAGTAAGGGAGGGTTATAACCCATATCAGTTATGTTTGCCATCTGTGTCCCAGTGGGGAGATTTCCCTTCACTTCCTGTCTCATAGCCAAACAGGAAGTGAGAGAAAATCCCTGCAAATGAAGAGGATTCCTTGGGGACTCCAGGTCACCAGAACTAGTGTCCCCATTAAAAGATTTCCATTCTATTACTTTTCCAGGGACAACCCAAAATTTGGGATTTTCTTTTACTTTCAAGGATGTGGGTGCAGGATTATAACTTTTTTTTTTTAATGGTTGAACTGGATGGACTTTTTTTCAGCCAGACTAACTATGTAACTCTATATCTTTCACTTTCAATGATAGTGGTAAACAGAACAAAGAGTAAGAGGGAATCTCCCTAACGGAGACACAGACAACAAAAAAAAACTGACAAGTGTTCTAATCTCTCTCCACTCTATCAAAAAAAAACAAACACACACCTTAACTTAAGGTTAAAATGCAGTTCTACAACACACAAGCTAATACAATTCTGTATTCATTAATAAATCATTAAATGTACAGTATATTTTCAATGCAAGTCGAGCAAATACCTAAATTTTGGGCTGGTATTAGGCTACTGCAGTCCTAATCTAGCAAAGGAGAAGCAGCACAGGAAGCCAACTGGTTTTAGTGCTGACAAGAGGCATGCTGCTAGGAGGAGAAAGCAGAGTGGCAGAGAGATAAGCTCAGTCTGCTTCTTCTCCTTCACTGTCCAATCACAGGCTGGGGGCAAGAGGATTTGGGTTGAATGATACTGTCCACGTTTTATTTTGCTGCCTAAGGACATTGCTTCATATTATAGGGAGAGGATAACACCACAAGCTATTTTTTGTCTTATCTTCTAATAGGCTAGTAATGTTTTTTTTCCTTTTTACTGGGACTTTGCTTTAAAACAGGGGTTGTGAATTAAAATTCACGGGGGTCCGGTCAGAAGAATTTTCTTCCAGTTAAGGTCCAAGTGTCATGTTGGTGCTTTAACTCAAATCCTTCACCACAGCCTCCTGTGCATCCCCCCCATCACAGACCCCCCCCCACCCCCCATCACAAATCCCTCATCACAGACCACCCCCCTACTGAATCTCAGACTCCTTTAACAGACCCCCCCCCCCCCCCCCCATCACAGGCCTCTCATCACAGACTGCCCAAACATAGATCCCCCCATCACAGTCCTCCCTTACAAACTCCTGTCCGTTTCATAACATTGCAGCACTCACCCCTCCCCACACTGTCCTAACTTATTTACATAAGACAGGAAACACAGCAGGTCTGGACAAAAAGAGGGACTTTTTAAGTTATGAAGCAGGTGATTGGCTGCTAGGCAGCAGGGCAGTCCAACCAATCATTCACCTGCCCTTTGTCCAGACCTGCCGTGCTTCCCGTCTTGTATTAACAAGGTATGATAGTGTGGGGAGGGGGGAGAGCTGCGATGCTATGAAACGGGCAGACCTGCTGCTCTTTCCATGCTGTACCCTTCCTTGAGGATGATAGCGGCATGCAGGCAAACTAGTGGCAGGAAGAGGACACGAAGGGAACTATTTGAAGAGGCTGTGATCCAGATAGGACTGCCATTTAGTGATGCCTGCTTTAAAAGAGAACAGTCAAAATCTGTTTCCAAATGCACTTACCGAAATCAGGATCTGCAGATTTGATATTGGACAGACATCCTTCAATTCCTCCGAAGGTTGCATCATTTGTCCAAGTAACATACTGAAAGAAGAATATATATTAACTCACAGATACTTTTCCACTTCAAAAGACTAAATCTCTGCTAGCAAAACAGTGACCCATTTATGCATATAAGGATCCACAACAATACAAGCTGTGAAACCAGGAACACAAGAATTCCTCTGCCCCTTGGGTCCTGTATAGACACTGTGCCTGCCAACACACTTAGTATTGCCATTTAAAAAATAAAAATATCTTCTTGTTAAGTTAAATTTATGTACTTAACATAGCTCACATTTGAAAAAATACAATTAAGAGGAATTAAACACAGCTTCCCCCATCAGCAAGCTCATAGTACATACTAGTACATACATCATAGCACATCATGGCATCCTGGCCATGCTGAGATCTGCAGAGTGCCTTGCCAGGATGCTCGCAGCTCCCCCATGTGACTAGCAGCACCGTGGTAAATGTGGATTGAAAGCGAGGCGTGGTTCTGCTGTACTGGACACTAAAAGAAGGCATGTAGGACGTGGGTCCTGGGATAGATCCAAGATGGTGCCAGCTTTGGCATAAGAGAGGGTAGTGTGGCCTAAAACACTGTGCGTGGTAAGTCTATTATGTATGGTGTATTCAACATATGTTAAAGAATTGCTTTTATGAGGATTCATGTTGTATTAATGAATACAGAGTTCAACTTTAAATTAAAATGTCTTACTGTCTGCAGGCATTTCAAAGTTTTCCAATGCCTGCTAAAAATCGTAAGAAAGGGCAGGAGGCTGCAGAGAAGGATTGCTGCTCTCTTTATGAGAAGAGTGGTTTTGAATTTCGATCCATCAGTGTATTATGATGGCAGGGAAGTCTCCCTACTGTCAGAATACTAAGACACAGCAGAGAGGATTGCCTTGAATGTATGGATGGGCGAAACAGGTCTGTTTTTTTTAGTTCAACGAAAAAAAAAAAACAAAAAAAAAAAAAAAAAACACCAGACTCATCTATGGGCTGCCTAAGAGGAAGTGTTGCTCTAAGAGGAAACTGTTACTGGAAGTGATTGTGTTGCCTTTCGTGGCAGTTGTGAAAGAGGCAGAGCATATGGCAGACCAAAGTACAGGGACTGCTGCTTTCAAACTGAAAATAACAGTCCTTCTTTGATGACCATCCTTTTTTTTCAATTTTGGAAGCCACTAGGGAGCTTTCAAATGCTTGATAGCAATGAGACTTTAAGGGGTTTATTTACTAAAGCTGGAGAGTCCAAAATCAGACTCCCTTCTTAGAAAAATCAGCTTCTAACCTCAGCTTGTTCAATGAAGCTTTGGCAATGAAACCTGGAAGCTGATTGGTTTCTATGCAGAAGGGAGTCTGATTTTTGGACTCTCCAGCTTTAGTTTAAACCCCTAAATGTCAAATTTAGTGCTCACTATTGAATGGTTCTACATACTTTTAATTTTACCATAATTGGGATTTAAAGCTGGAGTCACACCTTTGCATTGTAATGCATGCTCTAATGTGCTGAAGTGTGTTAAAACGCAAAATGAATAAAATACACTTCCAAGCACATTAAAATTGCACATCAATGCTTCATAGTATGCACTGCCAAAAATCAATGTGTGCATTACACTGCATGCATTTTGAGGCAAAAGTGTGAATTAGCTAAAACAATAGTTATTGTGTTCCCCATATCGGTCACTGAAAGCAGTTCTAATCATTTCCATACAGCCAATGCCTCAAGTTGATCTCCGGGCACAGAAACATATTTTATATATACACAATCAACAGCCAAAGCATATTAATCCACTTTGTGCGCACCAAATGTCTTTGTAAAAGTATCAGTGACCTCATCACTGTGCTGTAAAGAGCCTGTGCGGACAGCAGAGCTGTGTGAGGGGGCCATTGGGCTCCAGACACTACAGGGTGCCTGCAGAAAACTACAGGAGGGGGTGGAGACAAGACCAGTCATCTCGCACAAGGAGAGAGCAGCAGTGACCAGTCTTTAATACAGGAAGCCTCTGCACAGAGGTTAGGTTTCACACTGGATTACTGCACAGATCTGGAAGAAATACACAAAGCACACCAAGATTCAAGGGAGAATACATGACACATGTATTTAGATATTTACTTATCCTGGAATTAAGCTAAAAAAAAGGTATTCAGAAACATGTAGAAAAGAAAATTTGCTGAGGACCTGGGAGAAAGACAGGCGAGAAAGTTTTTGATGTCCTGTAGATGTAGGTTTCTTGGACATTCCTGCAGGCCTATGGCCTAGGGGGCATGCTTCTATGATAAAGTTGCTTATGCAGAGGCCTGTGTCTGGAGATCAGTTTATCTTTTATTACATTGTTCCTATTTTTAATTTGTAGCCTCCCTAGCGGTCTGATTATGTCAGTATTTTTGTGCTCAAAGCGGTACTTTTTTTGCATGGAAATATGTATTTTTTTTTTTATTGTAGGCCTGTAATTTTTAGGAATAACTCACTGAAATCTGTCCGAACAAGAGTCTAGTAAACATCCCGGGTATGTTAAAATTTTAAACACATAATCATAAATTATAATTTAATGAATAATCGTAAATAATAAATAATATAATAATAAATTTAATTCAATAATATAATCAAACCAACAAAACACTGAAATTTGAAATATAGCGCCAAGTTTGCACATCACTGAGTAAAGTCGCAAAATCGTTTTCAGTGTCTGATGACGAATTTCCCCACGAATCATTATCACTCAATTCTGCAAGTGGTTCTAATTTACTATCGCTGTTCTCTATCTGGTCTAAAACCACTTTTGACCTAAAAGGACGCTTTTTGGACACCATGGACGTTTCTCAGTTTCCAGGCAGAAAGAACAGTAAAAATGCAGGCAGGGCACAGGACAAAGCACAATGGTTTGATACAGTAATGTTTTACTATGTGATTTTTGTTAATTTAGTGAATGTCACTTTCACATTGTTAAATTTCTCGCCGTTCTGTCCCTTGTACGTCCCGACGTCACAGGCAACAGAACCCAGAAGTCGGCATCAGCCAGAGGACATTGCCGGGGACACTGCAGGAGGGACATTGCAGGAGCGCAGGACAAGGTAAGTGAAGAATAGATCCCGGAGCAACGCTGCAGGGTATTCCAGAGTGTAGCTCGAGGTTACTGCTTATGGTACTGAAACTTTACCCCGAGCTACACTCAGGAATACCGCCAGGGGGGGTAATAAAAACAATAATGCAATGAGGCAAAGTGCAGTATATTCTGGCAAAAGGAAAGAAAAAAGGATTACTTGTTACCTGATGCAACGTGGCATCAAACAGCTTGCAAGCTTCATTGCTTGTAGTCGAAAAGGTCATCCCAGCATCCTGCCAAGCCTGCACAGTAAAGAACACAGAATTATGTACCATGCATGTTGCACATGTCAGTTAAAGCGGAGGTTTATTCTGCCTTTCCAAGTTCCCCCTTCATTAACATGTTCATAACATTTTAAATAAAACCTTTTTTGTTTTCATCACATACCTTATTTTAGACCCAGATATGTCATTAATAGGTCTCTGTGCTTCTCTATACAATGCAAACTGATCCTGGCTGTTGGGAGGGCCCAGCAGGGTGCTGAACATACTTTCCTAAAAACATTACAGCACCGTGCCTCAGAACGAGCTCAAGAGCCCTCAACCCTGATGCAAGCAGTGGGCTGGCCCTTAGGAGGGGTTATGCAGATATCAAAATGCCTTGATGGGTGGATGTAAGTGTTTCTAGGCAGACTGTATACAGAACTCCCTAGGTCATGCCCACATGTGATGTTAAAGTGGTTGTAAAGGCTCCAAGCTATGCATGAAGGTAAAAAATCTTCAACATGTAGCAGCTCCCCCCTAATACTAACCTGAGCCCCACCCCAAACCAATGATGTGCATGGGAGCCTCAGCTATTTTGGGACTCTGCCTTCTCAATGGCTGAGACTGTCAACCACAGCCTGTCAGCCAATGGAGGAGAGGGGGCGGGGCTGAGCTGCAGATCCGTATGTGAATGGAAACAGCTGCTTGCTGTGGGGGTACCCAACAGAAGGGAGGGGCCAGGAGTTCCAGCAGGGAATTTGAGAAGACAAGGATTAAGGCGGAGTAGGCAAGTATGACCTGTTTGTTATTTAACCGCCTCTAGGCCACCATATAAGAAAATGAAGGGAAGGCGGTGGCTCTCTCGTTCTGGGAGGACGGCCTCCCATTCTAGCTGGCGGGCAAGCAGTGATCGGTGGTGATTTGTGTCCCTGGGAGCATCTAGCAATTTCAATCATCCCTCTATCCCCACCTACATCATGTGGACAATATGCTGGTATTTAGGGAGCTAAAGAGAATCTGGGATTTGTGATGTCAGTAGAAGTGTATGGTCATCAATAGTAGTCTCTGCCGCTACTTCTTGGAGCCCGGGAAGGAAGAGCAGTCATGTGACCAACAGTGAATTTACCCCCCCCCCCCCCCCCTCAGCCATTTTTTGCGATACAGTGCTGCGTTACTTTAACTGACAAATGTGCAGTCATGCACCGCTGTACATAAATTAAATTTGTCATTTTTCCCCCCGCAAATAGAGTTTTTGGTGGTATTTGATCACTTCTGCCTTTGTTATTTTTTGCGCTATAAACAAAAAAAAAAAAAAAAAAAAAATAATAATAATAATAATAATAATATATATTTATTATTTGACTTTTTTCTATATAAAACATATCAGTAGAAAGAAAAAAAAATCAAATCCCATCATAAATTTTGGTCAAAATGTATTCTGCTACATGTCTTTGCTAGGAAAAAAAAAAAAAAAATCCCAATACATGTAAATTAATTGGTTTACGTGACAGTTATAGCGTTTGCAAATGGTGGTATATATACACTGCAATTTTTTTTTTTTTTAATACTAGTAATGGCGGCAATCAGGGACTTATAGCGGGACTGCAGCGGGCATTCTGACACAGGGTGGGAACTACCACTGACACCACAATACGTACCACTTCCCCTCCCTCCTAGATTGTGAGCTCGAAAGAGCAGGGCCCTCGAACCCCTCGTGTATTGTACTGTTACTGTCTTGTCTCATGTTCTGTCCCCCTTGCTATTGTACAGCACTGAGCAAACCCTTTGGCGCTATATAAATACTGTATAATAATAATAATAATAATACAGTGATCAGTGCTAATAAAAAGCACTGACACTATACTAATGACACTGGGCAGAAAGGGGTTAACATCTGGGGCAATCAAAGGGTTAACTGTGTGCTGTTTCACATTATGTGCTGTGTATGTTTTACTAGGGAGACATGCTGCTTTCTATTTCTCTGCTGTGCAATGTGATAGTGTGCGGGCAATTTAACATTAGTTGACCCTGGCTGGGAGGGACACTAACTGACCTTGACACTGATATTGCTGTTGGCAGTAATACAGTGAAAAATTCTACATACGGACACTGTACTAATGGCACTGGCTGGGTGACAAAAGTGTTAAATGTGCTAATCTAACATGTGTGTACAATGTAGTGCTTTTAACTTTTAAACTGCGGTGTTCTCTTTTTTCTCCCTGGGGGCAGCAGGGGTGCACACAGCCAAGTTGTTGCTCACCCGCACATTGCGGCCAGTTGGCAAGTAGTAGTAAACAAAAAACAAAAACACCACAACCACACAAAACACACCTTTGAAGAAAATTAGAAAAAAAAAGTCTCAATATTTTTTTTTTTTAATAATTTTTATTTTTCTAATATATATTTTTTTTAAATGCTTTCATCATAGTTCAATGTTACCATAGTAACAATGTACTACTCTGGGGGGATGATCAGGGATTTTTTTTTTTTACACTCTGCATTGCAGGAGCAATAAAGATTTGAACTGTCATGAATGGGTTAAGTTCATGACTATTCAAAATACAGTGATCTATGATTGGTTCCAGCTGGTCACATGATGCAGGGTGCTGTGATTGGGCCCATGTACCATTTGAGAGCTGTGGGCCAATCACAGCTCTCCAGAAACAGAAACAAAGCTGTTATGAATCAATGATCTCGGGTGGGGGTTTGCGGCACCCCCTGTATTTGTACAGCCATAGCGATGTACCGGTATTGCTGTCCCTGTAGCTGCCGCCTGTCCGTAGTAAAAGTACTGTGGGCTGACGGCAAGTGGTTAAACATTACTGAACTTGGAGAGAATGTTTGCCAAGAATTTTTTTGATATGTCAAATGATTCTGATGTCAAGTTACATCTTGTTTCCCATGATAATCTATGGGCTTTCCTTTGTGTCATTCATCTGTCCTTTCATAGAAAAAACAGCTATAATCCCAAATAATATCAATTTTACAATCTGCTATTCTACTTCAGGAACATTTATGGGAAAGGTTGAAATGCTGCGTTTCACAGATTTGCCTGAAAATGAGTTTATATTTTGCTTTCTAATATTTTCTAGGGGCATTCCCTTTGTCATTCACCTCTGTCATTCCAAAGAAAACAATGAAAATCCCGCTTAATCTCAATTTCAAACATCACCACTGAATTTGGAAAGTATGTCTAAGAATTTTTTTTATTTTTATAAATAGGTCTAAATGCTTCTGATGTCACGTCACATCTTGCTTTCCATTATACCCTACAGGCATTTGATTCTGCCATTCACCTTTGTCATTCAACAGCTATAATCTAAAGTAATCTTAAATTTTACAATCCACTAGTGTACCATGTGATAAAGGTTAATTGCTACATGACACAGATTTGTCTGCAAATACATTCATATTTTGCTTCCCATTTTACTCTGTGGACATTAACTTCTGTCATTCACCTTTATCATTCCATAGAAAGCAATGATAATTCTGCCTAAAGTGGTACTGAAGGTTTGGCTTTAAAGAAGAAAAAAAAAAACCCACCCTAAGATGTCATACTTACCTGCTCTGTGCAATGGTTTTCACAGAGCAAACCTGATCCTCTTCTTTTTGGGTCCCCACCTGGCGCTCCTGGCTCCTCCCCCTTGACCAGTGCCCCCAATAGCAAGCTCACTCTCGAGCTCAACTATATGGGTTCATAAAACAGAGTGCAGCTTGGACCCGCCCCCCTGCTCTCTCCTCACTGGCTGTGGTTGATAGCACTGGGAGCCAATTATTTCCACTGCTGTCTGAGCCAATGAGGAGAGGAAGTCCTGGAACAGCCAAGTCTATCATGCACAGAGCTGACTGAGGATGCTCAGGCAAGTATTGGGGGGCTGGTGCTGCACACAGAAGGTTTGTTTTACCTTCCATTGATAGAATGCATGAAGGTAAAAAAAAATTTAGCCTTTACAACCACTTCAATATCAATTTTAAACATCACCACTGAATTTAGAGAGTATGTCTAAGGATTTATTTGGTATATTGAATGGTTCTGACTCCAGATCACATCTTGCTTCCCATTATACTCTACAGGCATTCCCTTTTGTCATTCCATATAAAACAGCTACAATTCCAAAAAAATTTTAATTTTACAATCTGCTACTCTACTCAGAGAACACCTGTGTGAAAGGTTAAATTGCTGCGTTTCTCAGATTTGCCTGCAAATAAATTCATATTTTGCTTCCCATCATATTCTATGGGCATTCCCTTCTGTCATTCACCTTTGTCATTCCATAGAAAAACAGCAAAAATCCCAAATAATCTCAATCTTACAATCAGCTACTACTTGACGAGCACCTTTGGTAAGGGTTAAATTGCTATGTCTATTAGATTTGCATGCAAAAGAGTTTAGATTTCGTTTCCCCATTATATTATTCTTACGAAGCCATATATAACTCGGCCCCCAGCTACATCACTACCCTAGTCTCAAAATGCCAATCAAATCATTCTCTTTGTTCCTCTCAAGACCTCCTGCTCTCTAGCTCCCTTGTCACCTCCTCCCATGCTCGCCTCCAAGACTTCTCCAGAGTCTCTCCCATCCTATGGAATTCCCTACCCCAATCTGTCTGATTGTCTCTTTCTACATTTAGGCTCCATGCACACTAGCATTTTTTTTTAAGCTCCTAAAAGTTATTATCAGTATATGCTTTTCTGCTCCTAGAAGCGAAATAGTGTTATCCTATGTGTCCATGCACACTACTGTAGGCTATTAGCATTTTTTAGCTACAGCATCAAGGAGCTATAAATGTTCCTACCAGCTTTTCTCTACATGTATTGTAACAACGCTAATGAAACACTATTACCAGCGATTTTTTAAGCTAAAAAAAACTCTAGTGTGCATGGAGCCTTAGATGATCCCTGAAAACCCATCTCATCAGACAAGCCTTTCTTGCCTGCACCTAATATCTGTACTTTAGCTTATCCACATCTATTATCTGCACCTAATATCTGTACTTTAGCTTATCCACATCTACATTTAG